TCTGCTTTATATGGATGGAAAGCTAAGACATAGGCCTAAAACTTTTACGGGGAAGGCAAAACTCAATTCTGCTATTTTGAAGTTCAAATCTTAGCAACAACATAGAAGTCTGAATCTATATTGCAGTATAAACACTATTCAGTTTTTAGCCCATATCTCGAGTTTTAGAAGTCCAAATACCTCAATTGTTTTTTCCTGGAAAGCTGAGATAACTTTCTAAAACTTTCATGAGCAAGGTTAGTTCAAATTCTGATGTTATCAATGACGTTTTGTTCAGACAAAAAGATAAGAATTGTTACCAAGTCAAGATGGTGGCCACCCACTTAATAATTAGTCATCAAATCTTTAGTTCCTAATTTTGGCCTATAAAAGGAGGTATTTTCCATGCATTTAAACATATTAGTTTCCAGACCAAGATTATGTTCTTGCTTTCTGTAATGTTTAAGTTTTACTTTCATTAATCTCTTGTTTATGCTTTTCATTTCCTTTCCTTTACTTTGTTAACTTTTATCTTATTTATGTTTTTATCTTGTTTATTTATGTTTCTCTCTTTTATTATATTTAATTAAGTTTATTATGTCAATGTGAAAAGGTTACATTAATGGTGTAAGAATAAGTATAGTGTAAACTCAAGATGGACTTTAATATTTAATACTAACATGTTTTATATTTATTATCTTGTTCACTTTTAATACTTGTTAAATGGTTAATCTAGATTTGTGTTATATAACACTTGATACAAAAAATACTTGGCACTTTCATAGCACAACCGTATGGTATAACATCCACTTGTGCTATGAAAGAAACTTGATCTGTTGTTAACATAAGTTATAATCATGTATACCATACAACATTTATAAGTATTAGCATTATTCGAATAAGATAATTAATGTAATCATGTTAACCATTTATAATCCGATTGGAATCTCCTCTGTGTGTAGTTTCCAGTTGAGTAATAAAAAGAATTTATACTATACTTGTTTGAAATACCATTAGTGGATCCTCTAATCTTGATATATATTTTTTATAATTGTTTAATCCTCACATTAATTTTACCATCTCAAAGTTCTTATCATGATTTTATTATTATTATTATTATTGCTACTACTATTGTTGTTGTTGTTGATGATGATGATGATGATGTATTATTGTTGTTTATGATTTATATAATTAATCTTCCTGTGATTTGATCACGGTCTTGCTGGGTTATTTATTACTTCGACACTCCTGCACTTAGGAGAAGACATCAATTTTTTGGTCATGTCAATTATAAATTGTTAACATGATTACATTACTTATCTTATTTGAATAATGCTAAAACTTGTAAATGTTGTCAGGTATTCATGATTATAACTTATGTTAACAACAAATCAAGTTCCTTTCATGACACAGGTGTAGATTATACCATACGGTTGAGCTATAAAAGTGTCAAGTATTTGTTATATCAAGTGTTATACAACATAAACCTAGATTAACCATTTAACAAGCAAAGTATTAAGATTGAACAAGATAACAAATACAAAACATGTTCATATCAAACATTGAAGTCCATATTGAGTTTACACTATACTTATTCTTATACCATTAGTGTAACCTTTTCACCTTGATAAAATAAACTTAACTAAACATAATGAAAGAAGAGAAACATAAATAAACAAGATAAGAACATAAATAAGATATAAGTTAACTAAGTCAAGTAAAGAAAATGAAAAGCATAAACAAGAGATTAATAAAAGCAAAACTTGAACATTATAAAAATATATATATAAAAAAAGGAGCAAAAACATGATCTTGATATGAAAACAAGATGCCTAAATACATGGAAAATGCCTCCTTTTATAGGCCAAAATTAAAAACTACTAATTTTTTGACTAATTATTGAGTGGGTGGCCAACTCTTGACTTAGTGATAATCCTTATCTTCTTGTCTAAATAAAACGTCATTGTTAATGTCAGAATTCGAACAAACTTAAATCATGAAAGTTCTAGGAAATTGTCTCAGCTTTCCAGGAAAAAAAAATTAAGGTCATATAGACTTCTAGAATTCAAGATATGGGCTAAATACTAAACAGTGTCTGGGCTGCAAGATAAATTTAGACTTCTCTGTTGTTACTAAGATTCGAACTTCCAAATAATAGAATTGAGTCTTGTTTTCTCATGAATGTTTTAGGCCTATGTCTTAGTTTTCCATCCATATAGAGTAGACCTAAATCCAAGATCTACAGCTCCAAATATGACCTAATGACCGAATAATATTCCTATTTGGGTTGAACCAATATCTCTTTTCTAAGTTTGACCATCTTTTTGTCCTTTCAATTTCAATACTTAAACTCATCAATCAATCCTTTTATTTATGTGATAGGCCTGTATTTAAAATGAATATTTACCAGAAATTAAAGGTATCTTATGGTATCAGACTTATTATTATAAAACATGCTTTAGTTAAGGAGTTATTGATACTTCAAGTGCAAAATGATAATATAAAACCTTTTATAAAAATACACTTTTAAGTACTAATCACACCCCCTCAATCAGCTTATTACTAGTTCCTAGTAATCAAAGCATTAAAATAGAAAAATAATTTGCAAATTCCATAAAGCAAGGCATTTATCATTCAACTTCTATTAGTCTATTCATATAAACAAACTCTCATTAAATTTATATATCTGCTCAATACCTCTTCACAAGAAATTAATAAACCTTCTTTTTATGCTCAATATATCAACACATAGTTATAAGGCTTTTCTTGGAAGAAAACAAACTGTTTATTTTAATGTTTAAGGTTAACTTTCTTGGGTTGAGATTATTATCTTTTTCTTTTTCTTTTTTTTTTCCTTTTTTACTTTTTTTTTTATTAATATATATACATATAACTTAAAATAAAATGTATCTTTAACATATGTAATGAGCTTTCGGCTAATGACTCTCAGACTCAAGAGTTAGTATAATTGTTATCTTACTCACTCTTAATACCTTGCTTGTTAAATGGTTAATCTAGATTTATGTTGTACAACAAATATTTGACCATTTTATAGGTAACTATATGGTATAACCGACACCTATACTACGAAAGGAACTTGATTTGTTGTTAACATAAATTATTATCATGAATACCTTACAATATTTATAAGTATTAAATAAGATAATTAATATAATTATGTGAATAATTTATAATATGATTGGAACCTCCTTTGTGTGTGGTTTCCAATTAAATAATAAAAAAAGTTTATATTATACTTATTTGAAATATCATAAGTGATTCATCTAACCTTAACATTTATTTTATTCTTATTTAATTCTTACATCAATATCACATAAAAATTCTCTTCAAAGCCTTTTCATCTATTATTTGTAATTTTATATAATTGACCTCCATGTGGTTTGACTATGGTCTTGTCATGTTATTTATTATTTCGATACTCCTGCACTTAAAATAAAATATTAATTTTTTGATCGTGTCAAATAACAGTTACAACTAAAAAAATATAAAAAAAAAATATTGTGATCTATTGTGTTTTGAATATGTATATGCAATGAAAATATCATTAGTTTTAGTTTATTTTATAATTATAATTTGTAATGTAATGTACAGATTACTAACGTGCACGACACACTAATTTGTTTAACCACGCTACCTTTTGAATTTTTCAAGAATACACAAAAACATGTTCGTCTTTACACTTAGTTTTGATAATATGCTCCCGTATGTCCAAAGAACAAGGTGCCTTCGAAACTAAGTTCGGCTAGATAATGGCTCTAAATAATAAGTTTTCTTTTTCTTTTTTCCTAGTGCTGCGATGGAAGCCGGTTCCGAACTGTAGGGTAATGTCTCTCTAACGCTTTAGCTTTTATGTTGAGCTGTGTGTTGATATCCTTTCACAATTCACTTGCATAATTTCGAACGAGATGGATTGCCAAAAGTTCAACACCCTTTAATTTAATTATGTCGTTTCTACAACAAAATCGATGTGCTATCCATTTCATCGAAATGAGAGGAATAAATAAACTTGAAAAATCATAGATATCAAAGCAATTGGTGATGGTGTAAGAAGATAGCTACATTTAAAGAGGATGGAGAGGAGATGAGATGGCTTAGTGTAGGTCCTTAACGTAACAATCACAATTTTAGTGGATTGAGGGACAACTTCATACTTTAATGCCTGCAAAATCAAGTTACCAGGTTAGATAATTTAGTGTTTAAGCAATTTAACTAAGTTTTAATGATTCCTATCAGGTTTAGAACTTTTAGAACTTGTTTAAAATTATGGTTATGGTTTAAAATATTTTTCATTTAAAAATACATTAAAATAATTTTTTTATTTTTAAAATATTATTTTTAAAATCAATACATTGAAACAATTCAAAAATATTAAAAAAATTAATTTTTTAAAATTACAAGTTGAACACGGTATCCGAACGGTCCCTTAAGCTGGTGCCCATCAGGTTTCCGATACTCAAACTAAACTGCTCCGGACAAATCTCTTCATATAAACTCTCAAGATAAAGAGATTCCCGAAGCATACACACATCACTTCATATATCCCTTTAAGGTCCATGCTTCATTGGTTTCATGATTTCAGCACGACATGAGCATGTTGGCTTGCAAGTTTGCAACGTATCTCAGGCCATATCGATCCTGCACTACACAAAAGTGCCATGTGGGGCATGCAATAAATAGAACGAGGCAGTTACTAGGGTTCTAGCGACAACCTAAGATCATCAAAGTTTCTATTATAACAGTAGACACCTCTCACTGTCAAGGATTTTTTTATCTTCTGTAATCCCACAACAGCTGCTTGGTAGCCAGGAGAACATATCGTGGATGCCTGATAGAATCCAAATACAAAATGTCCGACGAGTTTGGTACCCAGAGCCTGTTGTGGTGAGGAGCCATTCCTTCAGAACTTATTAAAGATCAGTGAACTTACATTGCATCTCTCCTTGATTTGAGTAAACCATAAAGAAGTTCAAAAAGACTAGATAGCAAGGGTGCATGAAAACCGAAATTGCAAATCAAAGACATTGGTAAAGTGAGTAAACATGTTTCTTTGATTACAGAAAACACTGCTCAAACAAATCAGAATACTAGGTGGACATAATAGAGAAATTGCAAACCCATGAAAAAGAAATTATCCTCACCAAAGTTGGGAACATTTAGCTTCTCTTTTAATCCATTTGTCAAATTTGACAACAACCGACTATAATAATTTTCCAACAAAATACGACCATCCTACTGTCACTTTTAATCTTTTGGTCTCTGATTGAAAGAATCTCCCTCTCAACTTTGTGAGCCAGGTCGAGCTGGGCCCAAGTAATTTGTAACCAATCCCATGATTGCAAACCTAGTTTTCAAACATGTTAGAAACCAGTAAGTAAAATAAAAAAGGAAAATCAAATCCTTTCAGAATCAAACTCAGTGTCTTGTACTGCTGGATCTATGCTAACAGAACAAGTTTATCATATAAACACACACACAGATATATAGAAAAAGAGAGGACTTGAAAACTCATTGAACCCCCGTCACATGTATTTTAATTCTATTTTCTGACAACAGACTTCTAAATAGTTGTTGATAGAGTGAAAGCCCAATAATAGCATTTTGTAATAACTCACCACTCACATAAACAGCTGTACCATTGCAGGTATCCAATTCTTCAACACTCATACATGAGAACTCTTGTTTTCTTCACTTACTAAATAAAATCACCAAGAAGCTCAAAATCCTCCCTTGAACCACATTATGCTCTTTCAAAGCATTCAATTATGGGAAAGTGCAGGCAAGATAAGAAACAACCAAAAAGAAAGTACATGGTGAAGCGAAGCAAAGTAGTGTTAAAGGGGATCCCAGAATTACATTCTGATAAACTCTGATTATAATTGACGGCAACTACTTCATCTAGTGAAACTTGAAGACCCTTCCCAGAGGTTAGACATGGTATGGTTGTTATTTTCTAGCATCTAAGGGCTAATCCGGGGATGCTCGGAACACCTAATCTAAGAGGACCATAAGGTTATTTCATTTTAAAATTGAAGATTTTTGGTCAGAACATCCACTTACATGCATCCACGTAATTAATAATTTATGCTTAAACATAAAAGTTCATGATTTTATTTAAAATAGCACAATGGCAGTTGAACAATAGCAATTGTATTCCTAAACTTTAAAAAAAAATGTAGTCAGAGTAGAAGTATTGAATTGAAAATCAATTTGGAGCACATTTAACCCATTATACACAAACCAAATTATAGATCACAGTATTAAAACTTCTCGTATTTTACCTCAAATTATACATGAAACAATAAAAGTAAAGCACACAATGAGACAATGGAGCAGTGACATAAAAACCTTGCAAAATTCTACTTATCATCTTCCAGAAAAAGAAATGTATCATCCTCAAGTCATAACGGATAATAGAAATAATCTGATAACACCTGCATCCCTGTTATGATACATCTCCCACCACTATCAATCTACTAAGAACATATAAAAACAAAAACTTGGATTGTGTTTGCTATCAGAAAATAGCTTCCTTTTGTTTCCATCTCTAGTTTTCATATTTATTGTGAAAAGATCTCTCCATGTTACATTAAGAAAACATGTTTACTAAATACAGATTCGTCAAAATAGAAAACAAAGGCTTTGTTTGACTTAAATTGAAAATAAATAAAAAAATGACCATAAAATATTACGTGCTCCAAGACCATTATTTTTACAGACGAGAATTTTGAAAATAACTTTTTTAATGTTTTTCAATTTTCTAGAGAAAATAATTTTCATTTTCAATTAGTTAATGTGAAATTCTTTAGTTTTATATTCCCTACAATTTTTTTCTAGAAAACTAAAAATTCGAGTAAACCCAACCTTGGACACTCCATTTAGAATCACCATTAATGCCACAGGGCAACAACCATTAATCCACTTCCTCCACTTACACCAAAGCCTTTCTCTCCAAACAGCTATTAAAGAAAATAATTATTTGATCAGTTCATGAGCCTTCTCGAAGTCTAGTATAAAAAACAACAAAGTTTCGGTATCCCAATCCAACATGTCCAGTTCAAACTTCTACGAGCACTAGCTGACTACTCTAAGGAACAAAAACATCTAAGATATCCCATTTCCCTTTGAAGTCCTTGAATTCAAGCAATGTCAAAGGAAACTATAGGTTAGAACTCCTAATTCTCAACACAACAATGCTTACAGTCCTACAGTGACACCAATCTATGACTAGTAACCTTTCAAAAATCTTGCCAGAATAATCCCCTTATCCCTTTCATATTGGGTAGTTCCATAGGTTATAGATATGAGAATCAACAGGGGTATATTCTTACCAATTAGCCTAGTGCAAGAACTCTTCTTGTAAAACCCGGTATCTATAACTAGTTTTGCTTTGAAAACCAACCATGCATCCAAAGTTGGGTTCTTACATAAATTAAGATCATCTTTTGGTAAGAGAGCTCTTTCAGACCCAACAAGCATTTTTGGAGTTTCTCTAGTGAAATACATTAATTGATGCAAAAGAGCTAGGTTCTCTTACTCAGATTATGTGATCCAAGGACTAACACTGTTTTAGAACTTTTGACTTGGCAAATTGAGCAACCACGGCAGAACTTAAAGCTACAAAGCATATCTAAAAATTAAGAGAATCAAATCAGATGACTTGCATAACTTTTAAAGAAACACACCAGCTTGACTTGACCACTTCATGATAAAATGGTAGGAGTGTGTTCCTTTTTCAGATAAATATCAATGCCTGACTAGTAGACAAATCCATGACCTTAAAATGGCTTACTTCCCTGCCCCCCTACAATTTGGAAAAGATCTCCTAGTGTATGATAAGGACACTGACTAGCATTTAATGACCTTCATAAATGCTATGAATTAGTCTTGCTCGATCTTTATATCTATCTATCTATAAACAGGACAAAGTAAAAAATAAAATAAAAAATCTAGCCCTCAACTCAGGAAAATCACATAATCTAAACAAGATAAAATCAAGGGTGAACTTACATGGATGCCATGGAAATCTGCTTAAGATCATTTTCCATATTCCTCATGTTCGAGAGAGATTGGGCACAGAATATGAGAGCAAGCCACGAGCACAGCTTGTACTGCCACCCAGTCAGCACCAACATCAATCAACTTGTTAGTAGTAGTATTAGATGATTGGATTGGATTAAAAATGTGCTGAATAAATAAATGAATTTAATTAATTACCCTAAACATGACGCCTGCCACTCCTAGGATAACCGCAATGAAACCTGAGTAATCAACGGGTAGATCCTGCGGTGAAACCATCGGTGCAACAAACGGTTTCGCGGCCGATGGCTGTCGTGGATCGTTCGCCGAAGCCGAGTTGTTGCTGTGCGATGACATCGGTCTCTTTCTCGATCTAGAGAAACAAATTATCAGGGAGTTGATTAATGTGTTTGTTGAGAGTGTTTTCTAGCTCGGCCTGATTCATTAACCGAGGCCCAGCACAGATCAGGACAGTGAAAAAACCGAATTTTTTTTCTTAGAACGACGTAGTTTTACAAGCTTTTTTTAAGGAAAAAAATATCAAATTTTAAATTAACTTCTATCAACTAATCTGGCACGTTATTCATGACCACCAAGTCCAAATTCAACTAACTTTTTAAATGATTGTTACTTTTTTTTGTAGAGACGTAAAAAAAAAATTAAAAAAAAACTTTTATAATCCATTTCCTTATCTTGATTATAGTTGCCAAAGCCTAGAATTTTACGTTAAAAGGACTGGGGAGGGAAGTCATCACGTCAACCCAAATTAATTATTTTTTTATTAAAATAATTTTATTTTATTTTTAAAAAAATATTAAAAAAAAAAAACTTACTTATCATTCATAAATAAATAATCAAACTAACATAATAAATAAAATTTTAACTTAATTATTAAGAGTTATCATTTAAAAAAATTATAAAAATTAAAAATATTATTTGTCATTTATTTAATTTGTATATAATCGTAGTATACATTTTATTATTGATTATTTATCATTTAAGATTGTCATTCATAATATACATTTAAAAATATTATTTGTCATTTATTTAATTTGTATATAATTGTAGTATACATTTTATTATTAATTATTTATCATTTAAGAATTTTACATTAAAATGACTGGGGAGGGAAGTCATCACGTCAACCCAAATTAATTATTTTTTTATTAAAATAATTTTATTTTATTTTTTTAAAAATATTTTTAAAAAAAAAACTTACTTGTCATTCATAAATAGATAATCAAACTAACATAATAAATAAAATTTTAACTCAATTATTAAGAGTTATCATTTAAAAAAATCATAAAAATTAAAAATATTATTTGTCATTTATTTAATTTGTATATAATCGTAGTATACATTTTATTATTGATAATTTATCATTTAAGATTGTTTATGGTTTTAATCCTTTAACACCATTAATTTTATTAATTTACCTGACGATAAAAAGGTTAGTATTTATAGTAATAAAAAAGCACAAATGATAAGAGACTTACAAGCAGAGATGAAGCAATAGATAAAAAAAAAAAAAAAAGAATGAGCAATATGAATTCAAAGCTAATAAAGGTTCCAAATTAGTAAGGTTAGAACTAGAAGATTGGTTTATGGTGCATATAAGGAAGGAAAGATTTCCTAAAAAAATGAGGTAAAAAATAATATCTCGATGAGAAAGTCTTTTTCGCATCATAAAGATGATTAATGACAATATTAAGTGAATTTATTAGGAGATGATGGTGTTAGTGTTACATTTAATATTTCTAATCTCTCTTTATTTGATGTAGATAATAATTCGAGTATGAATTCTTTTAAGGAGAGAGTGAATGATGTGATTCAAGCAAAAGGATCGTTAGAAGTTTTAATTGGTTTAATGATAAAATATAAGGTTAAGAGGTCCAAAGATACTTTCAATATATTTCTTAAAGACACATGAGTTTAGCTAGACTTCAATAAGATATTAAATAATGAATAACAAACCTTTATTCATTTAATTCATGTTCAAGAATAGCATATTGATGAGCTTTCAGACATTACAAAAAAATTAGAATAAAAAGATTCAAATATGTTAATTTTGATCTTTTTGTATTGTTTTGGTCATAATTAGATATACAAAAAAATTTTATTTTTATTCAAGTTTTTTTTTATAAAGTAGAATAGTTTTTCAGTGATATGACCCACCTTTTAATTCATTAAGATGAGAGAGAACCATGCATTTGAACTTGGCCTAAGATTCTACCGGCCGATAATAAAAACAACTTTGATCTTATTTAAATTAGTTTAACTATTATTTTATTTATTTTTTAGTTATTATTAGAATTTTTAGAGATATTAGGGCTTTTATTTTAATGGATTATTATTATTATTTACTAGTTTTATTCATATGTATTAGGGATATTCTATTAGATTTAGCATTCTTTCTATTATCCATACTCTTTTGCAGAGATTTTTAAGGGTTAGATTATTAGACTATTTTTTTATAAAAAAATATATATTCTTACTATCTTTTATGGTTGAGTGATTCTTATACTAAGTTTTTGATTGAACTTGCAAACTCTTTAAATGATTGATCAACTTTGTTATGATTTTATACTACTCGCTTGTGTCTCTTTATAAACGTAAGATAAGGATCATTATTGTATATAACTTTGATTCTCTATAACAAGTTCTTGTTATGTTAAATTAAAAACCATTCAAATCATTGAGCTTAACCTTATAACAAATGTGTAGCTTTTTCACCTAGAAAAATAATGGTTATAAAAGGTTTTATCTTTGCTTATAAAAAGATTGTTAGTGATTGAAAAATCTTAAACAAAGCTTGGGGACACTATATAGGCATGATTGAACTAGTATATATTGTTGTGTTTTATATTTCTTACACCTTACAAGTTCATCATGTGTGTGTGTAAAGTTTTGTCTTTAAGTCTTTATTTTCCTTAAATTCTTATATGACCATTCACTCATTTCTATACCTAACTCTATTGGGTTTTCTGAATATCATACATTTAGCGAAAATAATAAAACTAAAGTATTCGAGAGTCCCTAAGATTCTATTAGACTAATCTAGAGTTGCTTAGGAATTTATTACCTGAGGATCTGATCTTTTTCGGCTTTGAATAATTCTTTAAAAGCTGGGTTATTGCAAACTACAAGTTGTTTAATTGTCCAGTTTCCAATAATAATCCACACAAACCACCAGTTAGAAATCTTCCAAATTTCTATCCAGGAGAGATTGTTATGCCTCGAGTGTTATCTCTATATTCTATGGCTCATGTAGTTTTTTGTTTAACAGATAATAACTAAAAAAATAAGAGAGATAGCTTACTATTTACATGGAAAGTTTAAAAACCCGATAAATTGGCAAAATATCAATTTGTCTTTTGACTACATAGTTTTTGAACCCGGCCCAGTCCAAGGCCCGAGTTCTAGGTTTTGACCGAGTCATTGGGTCATCCAGGTCAATTCTTTTTTTAAATCAAAATGACACTGTTTTAGTAAAAAAAAAAGTCAACAGGGTACAACCAGGTTTTTTACTATGTCGCCGAGTCAACTTGTCAGGTCACATTAGGTTTTTCTTTTCCCTGTTATTTCTTCAACCGGGTCGGGTCGGGTTTCAAAACTATGCTCGAATAATTTCATATATTAATTCAGGATAATTTTAGATATTAACTCAATTAAGTACTTTCTTGATTTTTCTAAGTCTATAAATATAATACATGTATTAATTATATTATAATCCTTAATTTTTAAAATATATTTTAATTAAGTCATACCTAATTAAATCATCTCAGTTTAATTTTTGACTAATGGTTCTTAATGTGTGTGGCTTATTAGTTCTTAATATGTTAACACCAATATAAATTCTAATTCTAATTAAACATAATTAAATAAATTAAATAATTTAATTTATTATCAATTCAACAATTGATTAGTTTATATTTGAATATTAGATGCATTGTTTAGCAACATGTCATGATCTTCTAAATATTAGAAAAGTCATTAGTAGTTTAACTTAAACTTTCAGTGATCGGTTTAGATATAATTAATATCCTTTCATCAATAATGTTGTGATTTAATATTAAATCATGAAGTATATCTGTCGTAAATCATGTTTGTTCTTTACATATTAGCCATTGATCATTTGAATAAGATTTCAAATCCTTTTTCATATCTCACTCTACCTTAGTCAAGGATTTCTTAATTAATATTATTTGAATAAATATGGAACATTTTTTTCTAATTCACTAAGGATGATGAATCGTTTCTTGACCACTCAAGTACTTTCATATAATTCATATTATACCCAATGTCTTCTCTTTCGTTACCTTGATATTAAGATAACATATAATAGGATCACCATAAAATATTCTCTATATAAGATAACTTAGAGATCCTAAGTTTAAGGATCACTTATAAAATGAAAGGAAGGAAGAGAAGAATTTATAGATGAGAAAGTGAAAATGCAATCATACCACCTATATGTAGGCTAGCTGGAGTCTCTCTCTCTCTCTTTTATTATTATTATTTTAAAAAATATGTATGTACAAGTAGTTAACATGTGTATGTACAAGTAGTTATGATTGTGGCTCACATCTTCCCTTGGTTTTACGTTTAAGAACGGCTTAAACGCTCTCGATGGGTCGGGTGATAGGCTTCCCATCCAATTTTCTTAAAAACTGGCAAACAAGGTCTTTTTTAGTCAGATTCCCAAGACTATGTCAAGCATGTTCTTTATGAAATTGTGGCCATAAATCATAAATTGCATAATGCATATCTCCACTAGAGTGCGACTCAAGAATTAATAAAAGATTATCTAAAGAATCCTTACTCAGGTCATCCTTAATGAACTGTATTTTATCTTCACGATTTACAGATACCATTCCTAAAGAACAATATTTTACATTACAAGTCCATCTGTCACATATATGAAAAACTTGTAGTCATTTTGCACGACGTTTCTTTGCAAAAGTGTTTTTGTCTGTTCTAGGCATGTATGAAATGAAAGAATTGGAGGACTCACCTGATAATCGGACCTTTGCTTTAATTAGTCAGCGAATATCTTCAGAAATTCTATGGTTCATTAACAATCTCAATCTTGCACATCTAGCATGGTAAATTTTTACAATCACAATCTGAGGCAGAGTAGGAAAATACTTTTCAATTTTTCAAGAGTGATGTTCATTTTCAAATGAGAAGAGATGAAAAGAAGGGAGAAAGAGCAAAGAATTGAAAAAATATATACACAAGTATCAATTATTATGGGAAACTGAAAGAACCGACTGAAGTCACGGAGTACCGTTATCCGCCATTTGACTGGGATGGAAAAAAACTAGCAAAACAAAAGTCACACCAAAAGGAAACACAAAATCAATATGAGAGAAAAAAAATATCAATATTTATATAAAGGATCACCTAATTCAATAGAGTCATTTTCAATT